AGTGAACCAGCAGATGGAAGATCTCTCTATCTCTCCTTTCTGTAACTCTACCTTTCAAATAAAAAAAAATATATCCTTAATAAACAAATAAATGAACTTATTAAAAAGACTTTTTGGGGCTGGCACGGAAGCCTAGTGGCTGAAGAATTCCACCTCTTGCAACTGCCAAGATCCCGTATGGGTGCAGGTTCATGTCCTAGCTGCTCCACTTCCCTTCCAGCTCCCTGCTTGTGGCCTGCGAAAGCAGTTGAGGATGGCCCAAAGCCTGGCTCTCCTGGCTTCGAATCAGCTAAGCTTCAGTCGTTGCGGTTACTCGGGGAGTGAACCAGCCCAAGGAAGACCTGTCTCTCCTCTCTGTAAATCTGACTTTCCAATAAAAATAAATAAATCTTTTTTAAAAAGTATTTGTTCCTATACTGTAAAGTGTATTTAAAGTGAGGAAACCACAGGCACACACGGGCCACTTTCAGGGATAGAGTGGCAGGAAGGGTGTGGGTGGGAGACAGCTGGTTTTACTTTGATCTTGTGTCCTCAGCAGGAGAGAGGGAGTCCCTCCAAGTTGCCTGACTTCTTAGGAGCCTGGAAAGGAGAGCTGTAACATGATTGCATCTTAGCGGAGACGTTAGCTAAAGTTGGTGTTCAATATGAGAATGGCCTTAGTCTAGAAATGCTTGACAACATATTCAACAGGGCCCGGCGCGGTGGCACAAGTGGTTAAAGGTCCTCGCCTTGCACGCCCGGGATCCCATATGGGCGCCGGTTCTAATCCCGGCAGCCCCGCTTCCCTTCCAGCTCCCTGCCTGTGGCCTGGGAAAGCAGCAGAGGACGGCCCAAAGCTTTGGGAACCTGCACCCGCGTGGGAGACCCGGAAGAGGCTCCTGGCTTCGGATTGGCATAGTATCGGCCCGTTGCGCTCACTTGGGGAGTGAATCATCGGACGGAAGATCTTCCTCTCTGTCTCTCCTCTCTGTATATCCGCCTTTCCAATTAAAAAATAATAATAAAAAATAAATCTTTAAAAAAAAACATATTCAACAGTGGCAGGATGGATGCCACAGGGATATTGGTTCGAGTCCCAATTGCTCCACTTCCAAGGCAGCCCTGCACCCTCTTGAGAGACTCAGGAAAAGCTCCTGCCTCTTGCTTGAGCCTGACCTAGCACTAGCCATTGCAGTCAGCCGGAGACTGAACAATAGTCAGAAGATCTCTCCCTCCTCGCCCTTTTACCCTGTCTTACAAAAAATTGTTTTTAATTTTAAAATGAATAAAATATACAAAAGGTTGCCTGGCAGGATGTGCACATCTACTTACTTTGAAACGGCTCAGGAGAGAAAAAAGAAGTGCAGTAAAGGGGTGACCCTTTATTAGACACAGACAGGCTCGGGGGACAGTAGGCTGTGTTTCTTAACACTTTCATCTTTCTCAGAAGCTGAAAGCTTTCTCAAGTCAAAGTTGACTTTTTTAAGCTGGTAACAATGCTTTTCTTGCCTGGGCATGTAAAGGGACTCTTTTGGCTGCTGTAAGATGTAGCTGTTAATATTGCATGGTGACTTAAAATGAAGAACATACACATACTTTTTGTTCTTGTTGCGGTTGCTTTTTGCACATGTGTTTTTAAAGGCCATGGCAGTAACCCTCCCTTCTGCCCTACGGCTTCTTTCTTGACACTAACACCACCGCTTCTGGGCACCACTCCCGCCCCCTCACAGCAGTCTGCACAAACCACATTCCTTAGCAAATGCTTCCATGCGTAGCATGAACCCCATCAACCTCCTCCCACTACTATTTGCCTCATAAACCATCGCCGACGTAAAACACACCCCCTTTCCACTGCCCTCCAGAACAAACGACTTCCTTCACCGCTTGTACCCATGTACAAGGCTTCTGCCTATGGACCCTTCACCTGTCCCCACCTGTCCTCAGTCAAGCTCCCATGCCCTCAGGAGAGGCCTCCTGCACAGGGAAACATTTCAGATGTGAGGCTAGGCTTTCCCAATCAGGGTAAAGGACTGCCTGTGTATGGGCTGAGAAAATAGTCAAGGACGGCCCAAAGCCTTGGGACCCTGGACCGTGTGGGAGACCTGGAGGAAGGTCCTGGCTCCTGGCTTCAGATTGGCTCAGCTCCAGCTGTTGCATCCATGTGGGGAGCGAACCATCAGACAGAAGATCTTCCTCTCTGTCTCTCCTCCTCCCTGTATATTTGCCTTTATAATACAAATAAATAAATCTTAAAAAAAAAAAAAGTCCTTTTGAAAAGCTGGCTTCAGGTCTCTTTTTCTCTTAGTCAGGCCTCCAGACCTTCTTGTACTTTGGTCATTGATTCTTCATTATTCCTGAATAGTCAACATAGAAAAGGTAGCTTCACCAGGAACCAGAGACTTTGCCTATCATCCTATCTGACTCCTCACATTTCCTAACAGAGGAATCAACCCCAACTGTGATTTTGGTTAGGTGGGTCTGCACTAACGAGAGAGAAGGGGGCCCAGAGCAGTGGCCTGGCTGCTAATGTCTTCGACTTGAACACACTGGGATCCCATATGGGTGATGTTCTAATCCCAGCAGCCCCACTTCCCATCCAGCTCCCTGCTTGTGGCCCGAGAAAGCAGTCGAGGACAGCCTAAAGGCTTGGGACCCTGCACCTGTGTGGGAAACCTGGAGAAAGTTCCTGGCTCCTGGCTTGGGATCAGCACAGCTCTGGCTGTGGCAGTCACTTGGGGAGTAAATCATCGGATAGAAGATCTCCCTCTCTGTCTCTCCTTCCCTCTGTATATCTGACTTTCCAATACAAATAAATAAATCTTAAATAAAAAAAGGGAGACAGAAGGGAAGAAGAGAGAAGAGAAAGAGAAGACAAGAGGGCCTGGCACAGCAGCCTGATGGCTAAAGTCCTGACCATGCAGGTGCCAGGATCCCATGCGGGCTGCAGTTGACGTACCACCTACTCCACTTCCCATCCTGCTCCCTGCTTGTGGCCTGGGGGAGCAGTGGAGGATGGTCGAAAGTCTTTGGACCTGCAAACCAAATGGGAACGTGGAAGAGATTCCATGCTCCTGGCTTTGATCGGTTCTGCACCAGCTGTTGCAGCCACTTGGGAAGTGGACCAGCAGTTGGAAGATCTTTCTCGCTTTCTCTCTGTAAATCTGACTTTCCAACAAAAATAAATAAAAATCTTTAGAAAAGAGCGAAGAGAATAATGATATCAATAGCCATCATTTCCTGTGCATTTATGATAATACCAGGTACTGTGTCTAAACACTGAATAGCTGTTTCACATAATCTTTGTATAATAGTAAGTGCTATTATTTCCAAAATTTAACAGATAAGAAAACTGAGACACAGGAATAGTTTTACTTACCTAAGATCATACAGCTGGTAAGCAAGGGGGCAGAGATGGGATTCACTCAGACAGTTGGGTTATGGGCCACTCATTTCCACTCCATAGCTTCAGAGATGATGTGGTAACAGAAAAACCGAGGTCATAGTTCCTAAACTCTGCGCCAGAGTATAAACTCACAAAGATACCATGGGATATTCTTTTTAAACTAAAAGGGAAGATGACAGTATTTTAGAGTTCTTGTGTGCTATGTGAATTCTTAGTTTGAGATGAGTTTTTAAACATTAGATTATGCTACATTCCTTCCGATGACAAAATACGTTTGCAAAGCTGGTTTTAGGAGATGCTTCTGATATGGAACAGCAGACGAGGATTGCAAAGTCGGATCTCAAGGTTTGTTAAATTGTACAAAGCCAAGCAATACTTGGAATAAGTAAGTACTTGCAAAGCCATAAGTACTTGCAATTTTCTTCAGAATGAATTTTAAAAAAAAATTGTAGTTTTCATATATTTCTTTCCCAAGTGATTAGTAAGCTTTTGGAAGCACATGACTTCAAAACAAAACTGTGAAGTATTTCTTTGGACCTCGAGGTGCTGTGTGACATTCTTGGGATGCTAAGTGCAATGTGACCTGGGAACCTGGGCAGTCTGGGCTGGAGTACTGAGAGCAGATCAAAGCAGTCTTAAAGGAATAGAATGTGGAGATGTGGTGTGAGATGATGTAAAGGGAGATGATGGACATTTCTTGGGCAATTCATGGGTTGAGCCACGAAGTCTCTGTTCACAACACTGCAGAAACATACTTGTTCATAAAATACACATTGGTAGTCCAACTCTACCAGGAAAGTAAGATACGTAAAAATGATTTCCTAAGGACAGGTGTAGGATGGGACCCCTGGAGTGCCATCCTTGATAGACCACACCTAAAAATGTGGCCAGAGGAGGTGTGCTAGACACAGGGGAGGGAAGTGGGAAGAGAGAGATCGGGAAAGGATGATTTGTGTGTAACAAGCTATACCCAGAGAGGAGAAAGATGTTCTGGGTTCCATTACACAAAAAGGCAACTGCGGAGATGAACAACACACTGTTTTTGTTTTGTTTTTTTTTTTTGTATCAATAGCCAAAGTTTATTAGTGGCATCAGGCTTTTATAGAATGAACGTCATGTGCATGGCGGATAAAGTCCTGGCCTTGAATATGCCCGAATCCAATTTGGACACCAGTTCTAATCTCGACTGCCACCCCTTCCCATCCAGCTCCCTGCTTGTGGCCTGGGAAAGCAGTCGAGGACGGGCCAAAGCCTTGGGACCCTGCACCCATGTGGGAGACCTAGAGGAAGCTCCTGATCCTGGTGTCCCATAGGCACAGCTCCAGCCTTTGCGGTCACTAGCGGAGTGAATCATGAGACAGAAGATCTTTAAATAAATCTTTAAAACAGGAATGCGGCTCACATAGGATAAAGGAGGAGGTACTGAGGAGCTTAGGTAGTTCCCATGAGCCTGTCTACAGAACCCATCAATTGTTTTTCCACCCTTGTCTGAAAATACCTTTGTTTTTACCGTTGCCACTCAAAGGATAGCCAATCAGTTGTTTTCATACAAATCCTATCCTGGGCCGGAGATATAAACCTGTGCTCACTCGGGAACAGTGAACTGAGCCTACTAGAGCCAGCCACCTCCTGCTTCTCTCGTCGGAGCAGATCGCAGCTAGGCAAAGGCTCTTGGAGAGGACGACGCGGGACCATGGAGAACCAGTGAGTCGGGCACCAAGCCCAGGGAGCCCCAGAGGCTGCTGCGAAGGGGAAATGGCTGTCACCAAGCCTGGGAAACTTGGCTCGCTGGGCCCCGAGGGGGACGGGAGAGGGCGCAAATGCCTTGGAGATGCAGAGGCCCGGCATGGAACCTAGGTGTCCTGGGCGAGGCGACAGAGCAGTGAGGCAGCCCGCGCTGGCAGGGGCGCGCGCGGGAATGGAGCTAGGGTGGCGCCACCGCGGCGGGAAGGGCACAGGTTGGTGTGGTGCGGGCTTCTCGTAAAAGGGACCGTTGTGCCTGGATTAGGGTGCGAGTGGAGACAGAGGCATAGGACCCGCTTCGAAGCAGGGCAGACGGCCCTCCAGCCCATCCTAGGATCTCAAAGCCACGAGGTGTTTGTGCCCGAAGCCCCAGTTCCCCATTTAGAGAGAAGCGTGCCCGCCTCCCTCGCAGGTTGCTTCTCGCTGGTTTCCCTCCGAATTGGAGATGAGATCAGTCAATGGGGAATGATGTCTCCCAGTGAAGACAGAAATTATTACTGAGCTGAGCGGGACCCCTCCTCTCGATCCTCACCCTGTTCTGGGATGCCGCTCTCACCATGTCTGTCAGGTGATTTCCAGTCTAACTCACCAGCATTGGGGATCACAGGAACTTTCGGCTGCCCAGGGATCAGGGAATCCCTGGGGGACTGAGGGCCAGGGAGGAAACCCCTGAGCTGGGGCTATCACACCAGGGGGCAGCTGCTCCAACATTTTGCTTTCCTTTGCACCTCTTGGAGATACCATTTGACTCTTTTTTTTTTTTTTTTTTAACCAGCCTCATTGCCTCTTTTTCATTTTGTGACACTTGCTCTCACCATCACCCCCAGTTCCCCCCTTGCCCACCACCTCGTGTCCTGGAGAGTAAGTCTGGCTTCCTCTGCTCTGCTTTTGAAGGGAAAGAGTGTCTCAGTTGGCTTGGCCAGTTTTGCAGCCCTGCCACACCTCAGTGCCACCGCAGGCAATCATTGGCTTTTCAGAGGGGAGTGAGAACTGGACTTGGAACTGTAAGAAGCATTCTGAGTTACTCTTGCTGGCGAAGTAGAGGCAGGGGTTCTGGGTAGTGTAGGTGGCCAGATCCTTCAAGGACGTAGAGTCTTGGTGAAGAGAAGGAAGAGAAAGTGTCAGGTGTGCAAGACAGTGTTCCAGGAGCTGGTTAGCAATCCTTTTCTTTTTGTTTGTTTTTTAAGCTTTCTTCATTTTGATTGGAAAGTCAGATAAACAAAGAGCAGGAGACAAAGAGTAAGATCTTCCATCTGATGGTTGAATTCCCATGCGGCCCCAATGGCTGGAGCTGAGCCAATCCGAAGCCAGGAGCCAGGAGCTCCTGCAGGTCTCCCATGCGGGTGCAGGGTCGCAACCTTAGGCTGTCCTCGACTGATTTCCCAGTCCACAACAGGGATCAGATGGGAAGTGACTTTGGACTCAGTTATGTGAGCCGCTTACGGATGGGAATTCTCTGGCCTCTCTCCAGAAGTGTTCCAGCCACTTTTTAAAATGAGATGTGTTGATTCCAAAGGCAGAGAGCAAAGAGAATCTCCCATCTACTGGCCAGATCCAAGCCAGGAGTCAAGAATCCATCCTGACCTTCTCCATAGGTGGCAGGGGCTCAAGGACTTGGCCATCTTTTCCTCTGCTTTCCCAGACGTGTTAGCAGGAGGCTGGATCAGAGGTGGAGCAGCCAGAACTAGACCTTGACATTTGAATGCTGGTGTTGCAAGCAAGCGGTGGCTTAACCCAGGGTGACAATGCTACCCCAGGCACCAGCACCCGCCCTCTGGTGTGGCCCCACCACACTGGTCCCACTGTGAGTGCTCTCCCGAAGCTTTTCAGACTCTGGTTGAGCCTTTGACCTGCCTGCCTGGATGAAGTCATCTAAGAAGGGAGATGAAATCAGCTATGGGTAACAGGACAGAGGCGGGGCTGTTGGTAGAGACATGGGCTTTATAAACTTAGGCTCTCCCGCGAGGGGAATTTCATGTCTATCTCTCACCGGGCTGAATTCAGAAAGGGCTGGTGGAATGTGTGGGTGAGTATGCTGTGGCTTCTCCTCGGAGCCAGTTTCTCTGTCCCCTGCTGTCTTGGTGCACCTGCCAACCTGTTGGTCATTTGTTGGACACCTGTGGCTGGGAGCAGCACTCACTTTCGTTTTCTCTTCTAGATTCACATATGAAGATTATCAGAACACTGCAGAATGGCTGCTGTCTCACACCACGCACCGCCCTCAAGTGGCTGTGATCTGTGGTTCCGGGCTAGGAGGTCTGACTGATAAATTAACGGAGGCCCAGGCCTTTAACTACAGTGAGATACCCAATTTTCCCCAAAGTACAGGTACGATCAGAGGGATGCTGGGGGTGGGACTAAGGGAAATATATAGGTACATATGTTTGTATAAATATTTAGATATAAAACATTTATATAAATAAGTATATATAAATTTTCATTTTTATGTGAGACAGTTAGAGAAGAGATCCCATCTGCTGGTTCACTCCCTAAATGCCTGGGACTCCAACCAGCACTCACAGGATGCCCTGGGATGGGGGGGATATATATTGATGGGATGCTGTGGAATCCAATCAAGGAGGTCAAAGCTTATTGTCCTATGCCCCAGCATTTGCTCAACCAATGTAAGAGAAGAAAAATGTCCCGTCTCAGCCAGAATGACTTGGGATGGAAGCTTTTGTGGCAGAAATGTGGTAATAGGACAAGTATGTGTTAGCGCAACTAGGGTGGCATCATTCCATCTTTCCTAAGCTTTGCTGACTCAGAGCTCCTCACGACCCCAGGATAAAACACTTGCCCACTTCCCAGCCACGTGCCTCCTCCCGGTACTGTGGTACTGTCAGCACGTTCAGACTGTCTATAGTAGTGGGAGGACAAGCAGTATCTAGATCCGGGACAAAGTCACACCTTCCCTGTCTGGGCTAAGACACACCTTTGTGCACAGCAGCAGGTGGAAAGGTGGCATAGGGTGCTCTGCAGACATAGCCACAGCTCGCTGCACGGGTGGAAAGACCTGACTACCTGACCCTTTGGAAAGGCAAAGCGGCAGATAGACCCTTATCTACAGGGGAGCCCTGAGAGCTTGGGAAAGCACCAAATGGCCAGACTCGGCAAGGTGAAACTGGCAAGGAAGGGCCAAGGGTACTTTATTTGGTTGACTTATTGATTTTGTCAGTAACTTGCTTCCCTGGGCTTATTCATGAATGCTTAAGATTCCTATCTTCTGTCTCTGCAGAATTCATCCTTTGAATAAAGATGGTTAAACTTTTTGGACAAGAATGGAAGCCTAGAATAGAGAGATGAGAATGGGGGTTGGAGAAGGAAATATTACAGCGAAAAGGAAGGCTTTCTTATTTTTTTTTTTAATTGTTTTAAGGTAGTAGTGACATTGGCTGCATCTGCCTCTCCCATCCCCAGTGAGCTGGGCACTGCATTAAGTGATAAGTGGGCTCCCTTGCCGTGTTGGGGAGCTATATAGGAGAGTGAAGGAGATAATTTTGGTATTTTGAAAGAGGTCTATCATTATGACAATCATTATGTTTCACTCCTTTTTCTTTGTTTTACAATGTAGCTTTCTCATTCTTTTGCAATTTCTTTAGCAAGCCTTTCCTTTTCCTTTGTATGTTCACATGGATCAGTTTTACCTCTAATTGCAGGTTGTGTTTGCATAATTATGACTAATGCCCGTCGACCATAACAGACCAAACTTGCTGAAAGCAGAGATAATATCTTTTGCTTAATTATGCCCTCCTCTGTGGAGCAGCAAGTGGCTCACAGCAGGTGCCCAATGGCTACGTGTTGCATGAAAGCCCGAGCCTAATCATTCTCCCCACTTCCCCCTTTTTGTTATACAGTGCCAGGTCATGCTGGTCAGCTGGTGTTTGGCTTCCTGAATGGCAGATCGTGTGTGATGATGAAAGGCAGGTTCCATTTGTATGAAGGGTACCCACTCTGGAAGGTAAGCCCGGAGAGAAAAGGAAGAGAAGTGTCTGTTGTGTTGTATTCCTCGCTTCCTCGGGTACTTCTACAGAGGCAGCTATGGGAGAGTTCAGAACACCTTTTCTCATCTTGTGTTTCTAAGGTGACATTCCCTGTGAGGGTTTTCCGGCTTCTGGGTGTGGACACCTTGGTGGTCACCAACGCAGCTGGAGGTCTTAACCCCAAATTTGAGGTTGGAGACATCATGCTGATTCGCGATCACATCAACCTTCCTGGTTTCTGTGGACAGAACCCTCTCAAAGGACCCAATGAGGACAGGTACGTGTCTCATTCCTTCGTTCCTAGATGTGCATGCTCCGTGGCATTTGCCTAAGGTTCCGGTGTCTGAGCTGGTCCAACTTGTGCCCTAGGTTTGGAGTTCGTTTCCCTGCCATGTCAGATGCTTATGACCGGACTATCAGGCAGAAGGCTCTGAGTACTTGGAAGCAGATGGGGGAGCAGCGAGAGCTGCAAGAAGGCACCTATGTGATGGTGGCAGGTCCCAGCTTCGAGACTATCGCAGAGTGTCATCTGCTGCAGAAGTTGGGGGCAGATGCTGTTGGTGAGAAGGGGAACTTTGGTTGGAGTCTTCAAGAGGGAGGGGTTCTTGTTACAGCCATACCTCTGGCTCAGAGACAGAGAGATCTGTGTCAACAGAACCAACTTCAAAATGACCACAATATGTTTGTTTTTGTTTCTATAAAAAACATGGCTTCGGTACTGTTGTATAAGCAATGCAGAAATAAGCCCTGTAAAGCCCCACTTATTTCAAGTCATACGGAGCAATAAGCCCCGTGCTAATTTAGTGTTGAGTGTCCTTTTATGCGTTTGGGGATTGAACATTTGCAGTGAAGTTAGAGTGGAAGCCGAGGCTGAGGACGAGGATCCTGACAGTCGCTTTCCTTTCTTGTGCCCACCAGGCATGAGCACCGTGCCAGAAGTGATCGTCGCCCGGCACTGCGGACTTCGAGTCTTTGGCTTCTCACTCATCACTAACAAAGTCATCTTTGATTATGAAAAGCTGGAAAAGGCCAACCACGAGGAAGTCTTGGAAGCCGGGAAACAAGCTGCCCATAAACTGGAACAGTTTGTCTCCATTCTCGTGTCCAGCCTTCCGCTCCCTGGCAATGTCAGCTGACCAGCCCTGGGGTGGCCAGGCCTCTCCGTGTTCGGATCCGAGTAGCTGCTATCTACTTGGGCCCCCTAGCTGGAGTCACATGCCTGTGTGCCCTTACTAGCAACAAGAGGGAGATCCTTATCCTTTACCTTCTCTACTTTGTTCCACTAAACACTCCAGTGCCCGGTTCTCTTGCCCAGTTGTCTTCTCAAACAAGTTTGCTCCTAGTCCCTCATCTGCCGTAAGACCTGGAGCTGGTGCCCTATGACACACGCGTGGACGTGCTTGGGATTTGACCTGGGCCTTTGGACTTTGCACAGTAGCTGTTGCTACCTGTTTGGGACGATGCTTCTCACGTTCCTGGGGATTCAGTTCTGCCTCACTAACACTCTGGAGACCAAACAAGGACTAGACCAATACCTCGTAGAAGCTTTATTTAATACTGAAATGTTTTGAGAATAAAGAAGAAAAAAAAAAGAAAAGAAAATCTTGTGCTTTCTTGTTGCAATTTGTGGTGAGCCTGAGGCTCAGGCCAGGACTGTGACTCAGCTTCAGAGTCAAGGAGCTGAGACTGAGAGCACTACCGCAAAGGAGGGAGGAGCCGCGAAAGGCAGCAAGGTGGCCGTAGGTGGGGAGGAGGAGGACTCGCTTCTGCTCCGTGGTGACCACTTCCTTCAGCCCAGTGCTAGGCCTTCTGGTTTCACTCCTAAATCTGTGAAGTTTAATCCCAGAACCACTTGGAGCATACATAATCCATAAGTGGGAATGCTCAAGGGAAATTTTGGGCTTCTCCCTCCTGGGATACTACTCCCAATGGAGAGCGTAAAAACTAGGACTGGGGCAGGGGTGGCTATACAGAAAGTCACCCAACAGCATGTGTAGGCTGGGAAAGCAGTCGAGGATGGTCCAAAGCCTTGGAATCCTGTACTCAGGTGGGAGACCTAGAAGAAGCTCCTGGCTTTGGATTGGCTCAGCTCCAGCTGTTGCAGCCACTTGGTGAGTGAACCATCATCGGACGGAAGATCTTCCTCTCTCTGTATCTGCCTTTCCAAAAAAAATAAATCTTTTTTTTCCACATTCTTAAATTTTTGACAATTTATGTAGTCAAATATGGGAAAAACAGTTCAAGGGCTACCAGAAAGTGGGTAAGACTGTTATTTCCACATTGTTTTTTCATGTATCTCAGGTAAAGGGGGAGTTAAAGGGAGAAGCTCCACCCAGTCTCCCACCCATCCCACGTCCCTGATGTGGGGCATGCTCTGAGGGTCTTGCTCAAGTGGTTTTGATAGTTCAACAGTTATGAATCGCTGCCAATCTCGCCACTCCAAGCATGATGATGTGCTGAAGATTCCACTGATTGACATAGTTCATCTTAGAGTCTCCTCTCTCTGTATATCTGACTTTCCAATAAAAAATAATTAAATAAAGCTTTAAAAAAATCATTGGTCTTTAAAGAGACCACCATATGCTTTTTCTTATTTCCTGGCTCTGCTGCCCTAATATGGACAGCTGTCAAGTCAAGACCAAGTTCCTGACATGCACTCATTTTCTTCCCTCCAGAATCCATATTATACCAAACAGTTGTAACTATATCATCAGCAAGCCATAGTTTAAGGTGCCAACAATAAGTTAAATGCTCTATGATATTATGATCTCTCTCAGCTCCCCCATATATGTACACACACACATAGTTACCTAATTAGTTGTTCAAGGTTTTACTCATAGCTACCTCCCCAATATAGGCCATAGCAACCTAAAGACCTTCCCTCATTCCAAAAGAGTCCTACTCCATTTCTAAGAGAAAGAAATGCTCAAGAATCTGAATAGACAGGTCTTGCTGCATTTCCCCACACAGTCTGTTATTAGCAATCCTGCCTATGCAATGACATCTCCAGTAGATTCCAGAACAGTAATCAGACACCGCTGAACGCTGAAATTCCTGAAGGGTGTTGCACCAGGAGAGTGTGGAAGCTCTGCATCTCTTCCCCCAGGCCTCATCCTGGGCATCTCCATTACCCTTTTCAACATCCTGTGTAATAAACCAGTAAATGTTAGTGTTCCCTTGAATTCTCCCAATACTCAAAAGAATGAATGGCTACAGGATTGCAGCTGGCTGGTCAGAAACACAGGTAAAATAGCCTGGGCCTTGCAACTGCCATTTAAAGAGGGAGAGGGGAGCAGTCTTGGAGATTAACACCTCAACCCGTGGGATCTGATGCTATGTCCGGGAAGGTAGTGTCAGAACTGAATTTGAGAACATCCAGCTTGTGTCAGTTGCAGAACTGATTGCTTGCTTGGTTTGTAGAGAAAACCTCACACATGTCTGGTATCACAGTGATCTGTATTGTGAGAGTGAGCAAGAGAAGCTGAATTCGGGTTGGTTTTCCCTTGCATGGCCAAAAGTCCCATTTAACTTCTTCACCACAGCACAGGTCACCTTGTCTTCTTTTCATTATTACCTAAGTCCCACTTGGTTTCTTTCTGTTTCAAGACGTCTCCAATAAAAAAAAAAGGATGTCTCCAATCATCCAAAAAAAGAATTATTTCCCCAAACTCACATCTATCCTCCAGCTGTGACTCTCCTATGTTACAAAATTTCTCAAGAGTTGCTCATTGCATTTACTTTTCATCTCTATTTCCCCATCTCTCATTCATTGTGGTTTCTATTCTACTCAAGAGATGACACACGCCACTGAGACCACTTGCCAAGGGGACCTTGACCACTCTCTCTGGTTGAAGTAGGTTTTTTTTTTTTTTTAGATTTATTATTATTATTTGAAAGGCAGATTTAGAGAGAGACACAGAGAGAATTTTTTCATCCACTGATTCACTTCCCAAATGACCACAATGGCCAGAGCTGAGCCTATCCAAAGTTGAGAGCCAGGAGTTCCCTCCAGGTCTCCCACATAGGTACAGAAGTAAGAGGACCTGAGTCATCCTTGACTACTTTTTCAGGCCATAAGCAGGGAGCCGAATTGGAAGTAGAGCAGCTAGAACTATAACCATATGGGATGCCAATGCTGTAAGACAGAGGATTAGCCAATTGAACCACTGAGCCAGCCCCGAAAACTTTGTACTCACCTCCCAAGACAGTCTGCTTTTCTGGTTTTCTTGTACCTCCATGATGGCTCCTTTTCACATTTCCTTTTTGCATCCTTCTTCTCATCATGAGGATGGAATGGTGTCCAGACCATATGTGCTAAATGCCATTTATGTGTTAATAACTTCCAAATTAATGAATGTAGCTTAAGCCCTGTCGCTTGATGTCCAGACACATTTACCCGAGTAGAAATTCTATATGTCCATCTGGAAGAAAAGATTTTTCCAATCTTCACAGCTGTGAGCAAAATTTAGCTATCCTGCCAAAATCACTTTTTCCTTCAAGGCTTCATCTGAGTAAATGGAACCTTGTTTTACCTATTAAATCATATTAAAAGCTTGGGAGCCAATCTAAACTTTTTTCTTTCTTCCTCAGATTTTTTTGACTGCAAACCCTTTCTACCTTCAAAATATCTCCAGTCTGAACTTTTCTTTCTGACTGAACATTACCACCAATGGTGGAAGCCAAAACCAACTGGTAGCTTGGTTGGTCTACTACAGGGCTCTCCTAATCAATCTCTCTACTTCCATATTTACTTCATATCATTGGTTTTTCTATGAGGCAATCGGTGAAATTCTGTAAAGATGAGTCAGTTAAAAATGATTTAAATGATATTCTTTCATGCTCAAAACTCAGACTTTGTACCACGACCTACAACATCTACCTATGTCTCCATCCTCTTATCAACCACCATTCTCTCCTTTCTTCACTGAACTCTAGTGAAATATGTTGTAAGACTCTTTCTGGGGGCTGGTGTTATGGCGTAACAGGTAAAGCCTCTGCCTTCAACACCAGCATCCCATATGGGTGCTGGTTCATGTCTTGACTGTGTCACTTGCTCCCTGCTAATGCATCAGGCAAAACAGCTAAAGATGGTCCAGGTACTTTGTAAGAATGGTTTTTTGTAAGTGAAAGTCTTTAGGTTTTCTTATATGCTTACTCTGCCAATTTCTCATTCTATGTTATGAATGGATACAAACCATTCATTATTTAAAAACAAACATGGAAGTATAGTAAGAGTAGCTGGATATTTTCTGCCAATCCCTGATTCTTTGTAGTTGTTCAGCTTCTAAACTGTTTTATACTTGTTAACTCTTCACTTTAGGATAAGCCCTATGTCAGGTCTCCCAAAGATGCGAGGAACTGATGTGATTTTACTGGGTTCAGGAATTTGCTCAGATCAAATTATCTTAGCCTGGAAAGTCTGAGAGATCCTTGGAGAACCAAACTGCACCTTGAAGCAATGATGGTGAGCACTGCATAATCTTCAGACTTATGAGGCACCCCTGCCCCTGAAGGAGCTTTGGGCAGATCTACAGGTGCTTGTGATCTCAGCTAGACTGGACAAAGATGAGCATGCATGCATAGTCTCTCCACTTCCAGTACAGGAGCTTTCCATCCTAATGCAGTAAGCTCTCTATGAAAATTCTAGAGTCAAAAGCTTCTGCTTCTGTCTGAACTGGAAAGTTTGGTTTGTCTCAGTGAGCTACTATGAGCCCTTGGGCTAAATAACCCTCTTTGGCTTATGTAAATAATATTATGTTGACTCTCATCAGTCTGCACCTGAGTTTTCCATTTGTCAACATGGGTTGGCCACCCAGTTTCTAAATAACTGTAACATTTACTTAACAACCCTGCACAACACTTTTGTCCTTTTGTTTTCTCCTCATCTTATTTGAAATTTGTTCTTCTGAAATTTGAATGTATTAAGTTTCATGAAAAAGTGCTGGCGTGTGTGTGCGTTTTGTATGTGGACCATCATCTTCCCATGAAATCATGAGGAAGCTTAAAATCCTTCATAGTTCCAACACAGGATGCCAGCCAACATGGCTCCCTAGGCTGCTGAGCAGCAGTAGATGCTTGAGGTTGTATGTTTACTCATTTATTAAACAAATGGTTTAGGGTTAGGGATAGAGAAAAGAACAAGAAAACATTCTTACTTTTTGTAGTCTGGGGTCAGACTACAAATAAATATGCATGTCAAAAATATACAGCTGGTGCTATCACACAGCAGGTTGCTGTCACTTGTGATACTATCAACTCATTCATGTCTGCTTGCCTGTTCAGGACCTGGCTGTTCCACTTCTGGTCCATCTCCCTACTAGAGTGCCTGGGAAGTCAGGGGAAGATGGCCCAAATGCTTGGACCTCTGCTACCCATGGTGGAGATCCTTCAGGTTCTTAGGATAAGACTGACAAGGCCTTGGGCCATTGTGGATATTTGGGAAATGAATTAGTGGATTGAATACTCTCTGTAACTTTGCCTTTAAGTAGGTAAATAAATCTTTTAAAAACCATGAAAATTGTCAAAATTGAACAGCCAACAAGCAAGATGGAAATAAAAATATAAATATGAGGACTGACACATTGGATTAACTGACTAATCCTCCAGCTCAAACCATAAACACTCCATATGGGCACCGGTTCATGTCCCATCTGCTGTGCTTCCCATCCAGCTCTCTGCTTATGGTTTGGTAAAACGGTAGACGAAGGCCCAAAGCCTTGGGCCCTGCACTCACATGGGAGACTCAGAGGAAGCTTTTGGCTCCTGGCTTCAGATTGGCTCAACTCTGGATGTTATGGCCATTTGGGGTGTGAACCATTGGGTGGAAGATCTTTTCGTGACTCCTTTCTATAAATCTGCTTTTCCAATAAAAATAAATCTTTAAAAAAGTGCAAATAAGAGAAGATAAAAAGAACATGAAATGACCCAGCACGGTAGCCTAGTAGCTAAAGTCCTACCTTGTACATGCCTGGATCCCATAAGGGTGCCAGTTGTAATCCCAGCAGCCCCACTTCCCATTCAGCTCCCTGCGTGTGGCCTGGGAAAGCAGTCAAGGCTGCCCCAAAGCCTTGAGAGCCTGCACCCATATGGGAGACCCAGAGGAAGCTCTTGGCTCTGACTTTGGATCAGCTCAGCTCTGGCTATTGCTGCCACTTAGGGAGTGAATCAGTGCACAGAAAATCTTTCTCTTTGTCTCTCTTCCTCTCTGTATATCTTACTATCCAATAAAAACAAATAAAGTAAATCTTAAAACAACATAAAATGAACATGAAAAATAAGAAAACAGCAAGTGAGATAGTCAACTTAATAAAATGGACATAGAAACTCAAAATGGAAATGAAAGTGAAAGGCAAATGGAGGAGTAGGATTTTCCAACCCAGAAATAACACAAGGGTAGATTCATCCAGAAGGATATCAAATTTAATTTAGACCAAAGCTAAAAATCAGGCAAGATTAAAGATAGGAAATTTCTCCTTTTTATTGAGTTCCAAAGTCATAGTAACAGAAAAACCAGGCGCATGACCAGTATTTGTTCAAAAGATATCCCATAGAAACAAAACATCATTAATGAAAAGCAGAGGCCTATTTACAAGAGAGAAAGGCAACAGAAATCTAAGCCAAATTAAATTTCGGCCCAGAACAGAACGAACAGCTCTCCCCTCACCCTTTCATGAGCTGATGACATTACGTCTTTGTCTCCATTACCATGAATAAGCCATAAAGTTTTTGTAAGTGGCTAAAAAAGAAAAATCAGGATATATTCTTCTTTTGCTTCTAAAACCTTTGAGATCACAGGCATGTAAACTTGGCAGCACTGACTTCATTCATTAAGAAAACACTAATTTATTAATGTGAAATGATCTCTAGGATAGATTAAAACAGAGCAGCAAGAGGCACAACAGTACACAGAGCACTCTTTTCAATGTGGAAGAGAAGTAAAAAGAAGAATTTGTCTGGCACCAAAAGACAGATACTGTATGCTCTCTCTTGTATGTCGAAGTCAAAATGTTGATCTTAGGAAACTAGAGAACTAGAGTGGTCATCAGAGCCCGGGAAGGGTGCCGCGGGGGAGGATGGAAGGGGGCGGTTACCAGGTACCGGTGTGTGGAAGGAAGGGAGGAGGCGCTTCTCACGCTCTCCAGCATTGCAGGATCACGGTGGCAGGCGATACTTACGTGAATAATTCAAAATCATTGGCCGAGAAGATTTTGAACATTCCCAAGAATGATGAATGGTATGGGTGAGGGATATGCCAATGATCCTATTCTAATCATTATACATTGTATATATTAATGAAAATGCTTAATCACACCCTCTGAACAAAATTACGATGTGCTCACTAAAAAATAAAAACAGAGCGGCTAGCATTGTGGCACAACAGATTGGGCTGCCTGCTGCTTGTGAAGCCAGCACCCCCAGAGCACTTGGTTGTTCCACTTCTGATCCAGCTCCCTGTTCTTGGAATTGGAAAAGTAGTTATAGGATAGCCCACGTGCTGGTACCCCTGCACCCATGTGGGAGACCTGGAGGAAACTCCTGGCTCTTGGCTAGAGTCTAGTCCCTGTGGTTACAGTTATTTGGGAATTAAGCCAGCAGATGGAAGATCTCTGTGTCACTCCATCTCACTTTTTTAAATTGGAAAGTCAGATATACAGAGAAGAGGAGAGACAGAGAAAGAACTTCTGCCCGTTGATTCACTCCCAAAGTGGCCGCAACAGCCAGAGTTGAGCTGATCCAAACCCAGGAACCCAGAACCTCTTTCAGGTCTCCCACATGGGTGCGGGCCACAAGCAGGGAGTTAGATGGAAAGGGGGCTGGGCCTGGCACAATAGCATAGTGGCTAAAATCCTCACCTTGCACGGGCCTGGGATCCCATGTGGGCACCAGTTCTGAAACTGGCAGTCACACTTCCCATCCAGCTCCCTGCTTCTGGCCAGGGAAAGCAGTCGAGGATGGCCCAAAGCTTTGGGACCCTGTACCCGCGCGGGAGATCTCGATACTCCTGGCTTTGGATTGGCTCAGCTCCAGCCGTTGTGGCCGCTTAGGGAGTGAACCATCGGACAGAAGATCTTCCTCTCTGTATATCAGACTTTCCAATAAAATTAAATAAATCATAAAAAAAAAAGAAAAAAGAAAAAAAGAAAGTGGGACTGTGGCTGCCAGAACACAACTGGAGCCCATAAGGGATCCCAGCGTTTACAAGGTGAGGACTTTAGCCACTAGGCTACTGTACTGGGACTCTTCATCTGTTTCTGACACTGCATGTTAAATAAGTCAATCATTAATAGATAGCTAGATAGTGTTGTGGCATAGTTGGCATCATTTTCATCATTCCATCCAGGAGGCAGATCAGAGATTGGAATGGAAAGATCCCTTTGTGTGACAATGACTTAGGAACATATCTAGAACTCTTCATCACTCTGTGCTTTGGTTTATTCTGATGTGGAGCCCTAGTCCTCTTTCTCATCCTTCAAGGCTAAGCTCAAAAGTTTAACAAAAGTTTTTCCCTAGAGCCAGAACGTGTGCAGCAGGTTAGGCTGCCACTTGCAGCACTGGCATCCATCCCACACGGACACTGGTTTGAGTCCTGGTTGCTCTACTTCTGATCCAACTCCCTGCTAATGTGCCTGGAAAAGCCACAGAAGATGGCCCACGTGCCCGTGCCCCTGCACCCACATGAAACCTGGATCAAATTCTGGCTGCTGTCCCTAGCTGACCCAACATTGGCTACTGTGACCATTTGGGAACTGAACCAGCAAACGGAAAATCTCTTTTTCTATGCTTTTCCTTCTGTTACACTGCCTTTAAAATAAATAAAGATGAATAAATTACACCTAATAGCTGTACTGCACTTCCCTCTAAATCAACTTCTAGACACAGATGTGAGCAGATTGCTTGAAGGCGCAGTGATGGATCTCCTGGTGAACAGAAGTACAGAAAACTGATGACAGGGACACATCTGAAGCCTCTGCATTTGGTTCTGTGAAAGAGCTAAATTGCTGAAATCTTCCCATTGCAAGCACTGGATCTCACAAGGACTCTGGTTCGTATCCTGACTGCTCCAATTCCCATCCAGTTCCCTGCTTATGGTCTGGGAAGGCAGCAGAAGACGGCCCAAAAACTTAGAACCCTGACCCATGTGGACACCTGGAACAAGTTCTTAGCTCCTGGCTTTGGATGGGCTAAGTTACAGGTGTTATGGCCACTTGGAGAATGCAGTGGGTGGAAGAGCTATCTCTGTCTCTCCTCTCAGAAAACCTGACTTTCCAATGAAAAAGAATCCTTTACATTGAGTTCAGCTCCTATCAGAAATACCTCTCCATATCATATTAACAGTAAGTGAAAGGTTCGTTACCGTTAGAGGCTCATCAAACACATAGGCCCGGGAGGGTAGTGTGGTTTTTCAAAGCTGCTAGCCAGTTGAATGCACATTGAAAAGCAAAGATAAGGGAGTGCAGTGAGTCAACAATGAGCAATGCCTGAGAGCAGCTTCATAGCTAAGATCTAGCCATGCAAAAGAAACAGACAAAGCGAGAAATGCTGGAGGGCAGGGGTACCCGCTGCACTGTCAGAATGGAGCAGAGTGTATATGGCTGCTGAAGTCACAAACAGTACGGGAGAAAGGGCAGACAGAACAAATACACCCAGAAATGAAACTAGGAAGTGGCAGCTAAATACAGCGCAGAAGCTGAGATCAGTGAGCGCATCCAAATATCATAAGCAGATTTAGAGTGAAACCAGAAGGCCTAGCACTGGGCTGAAGGAAGTGGTCACCACGGAGCAGAAGCGAGTCCTCCTCCTCCCCACCTACGGCCACCTTGCTGCCCGTCGCGGCTCCTCCCTCCTTTGCGGTAGTGTTCTCAGTCTCAGCTCCTTGACTCTGAAGCTGAGTCACAGTCCTGGCCTGAGCCTCAGGCTCACCCCAAATTGCAACAAGAAAGCACAAGATTTCTTTTTTTTTTCTTCTTTATTCTCAAAACATTTCAGTATTAAATAAAGCTTCTACGAGGTATTGGTCTAGTCCTTGTTTGGTCTCCAGAGTGTTAGTGAGGCAGAACTGAATCCCCAGGATCGTGAGAAGCATCGTCCCAAACAGGTAGCAACAGCTACTGTGCAAAGTCCAAAGGCCCAGGTCAAATCCCAAGCACGTCCACGCGTGTGTCATAGGGCACCAGCTCCAGGTCTTACGGTAGATGAGGGACTAGGAGCAAACTTGTTTGAGAAGACAACTGGGCAAGAGAACCGGGCACTGGAGTGTTTAGTGGAACAAAGTGGAGAAGGTAAAGGATAAGGATCTCCCTCTTGTTGCTAGTAAGGGCACACAGGCATGTGACTCCAGCTAGGGGGCCCAAGTAGTAGCAGCTACTCGGATCCGAACACGGAGAGGCCTGGCCACCCCAGGGCTGGTCAGCTGACATTGCCAGGGAGCGGAAGGCTGGACACGAGAATGGAGACAAACTGTTCCAGTTTATGGGCAGCTTGTTTCCCGGCTTCCAAGACTTCCTCGTGGTTGGCCTTTTCCAGCTTTTCATAATCGAAGATGACTTTGTTAGTGATGAGTGAGAAGCCAAAGACTCGAAGTCCGCAGTGCCGGGCGACGATCACTTCTGGCACGGTGCTCATGCCTGGTGGGCACAAGAAAGGAAAGTGACCGTCAGGATCCTCGTCCTCAGCCTCGGCTTCCACTCTAACTTCACTGCAAATGTTCAATCCCCAAACGCATAAAAGGACACTCAACACTAAATTAGCACGGGGCTTATTGCTCCGTATGACTTGAAATAAGTGGGGCTTTACAGGGCTTATTTCTGCATTGCTTATACAACAGTACCGAAGCCATGTTTTTTATAGAAACAAAAACAAACATATTGTGGTCATTTTGAAGTTGGTTCTGTTGACACAGATGTCTCTGTCTCTGAGCCAGAGGTATGGCTGTAACAAGAACCCCTCCCTCTTGAAGACTCCAACCAAAGTTCCCCTTCTCACCAACAGCATCCGCCCCCAACTTCTGCAGCAGATGACACTCTGCGATAGTCTCGAAGCTGGGACCTGCCACCATCACATAGGTGCCTTCTTGCAGCTCTCGCTGCTCCCCCATCTGCTTCCAAGTACTCAGAGCCTTCTGCCTGATAGTCCGGTCATAAGCATCTGACATGGCAGGGAAACGAACTCCAAACCTAGGGCACAAGTTGGACCAGCTCAGACACCGGAACCTTAGGCAAATGCCACGGAGCATGCACATCTAGGAACGAAGGAATGAGACACGTACCTGTCCTCATTGGGTCCTTTGAGAGGGTTCTGTCCACAGAAACCAGGAAGGTTGATGTGATCGCGAATCAGCATGATGTCTCCAACCTCAAATTTGGGGTTAAGACCTCCAGCTGCGTTGGTGACCACCAAGGTGTCCACACCCAGAAGCCGGAAAACCCTCACAGGGAATGTCACCTTAGAAACACAAGATGAGAAAAGGTGTTCTGAACTCTCCCATAGCTGCCTCTGTAGAAGTACCCGAGGAAGCGAGGAATACAACACAACAGACACTTCTCTTCCTTTTCTCTCCGGGCTTACCTTCCAGAGTGGGTACCCTTCATACAAATGGAACCTGCCTTTCATCATCACACACGATCTGCCATTCAGGAAGCCAAACACCAGCTGACCAGCATGACCTGGCACTGTATAACAGAAAGGGGGAAGTGGGGAGAATGATTAGGCTCGGGCTTTCATACAACACGTAGCCATTGGGCACCTGCTGTGAGCCACTTGCTGCTCCACAGAGGAGGGCATAATTAAGCAAAAGATATTATCTCTGCTTTCAGCAAGTTTGGTCTGTTATGGTCGACGGGCATTAGTCATAATTATGCAAACACAACCTGCAATTAGAGGTAAAACTGATCCATGTGAACATACAAAGGAAAAGGAAAGGCTTGCTAAAGAAATTGCAAAAGAATGAGAAAGCTACATTGTAAAACAAAGAAAAAAGAGCAAAACATAGTGATTGTCATAATGATAGACCTCTTTCAAAATACCAAAATTATCTCCTTCACTCTCCTATATAGCTCCCCAACACGGCAAGGGAGCCCACTTATCACTTAATGCAGTGCCCAGCTCACTGGGGATGGGAATGGCAGATGCAGCCAATGTCACTACTACCTTAAAACAATTAAAAAAAAATAAGAAAACCTTCCTTTTCGCTGTAATATTTCCTTCTCCAACCCCCATTCTCATCTCTCTATTCTAGGCTTCCATTCTTGTCCAAAAAGTTTAACCATCTTTATTCAAAGGATGAATTCTGCAGAGACAGAAGATAGGAATCTTAAGCATTCATGAATAAGCCCAGGGAAGCAAGTTACTGACAAAATCAATAAGTCAACCAAATAAAGTACCCTTGGCCCTCCCTTGCCAGTTTCACCTTGCCGAGTCTGGCCATTTGGTGCTTTCCCAAGCTCTCAGGGCTCCCCTGTAGATAAGGGGCTATCTGCTGCTTTGCCTTTCCAAAGGGTCAGGTAGTCAGGTCTTTCCACCCGTGCAGCGAGCTGTGGCTATGTCTGCAGAGCACCCTATGCCACCTTTCCACCTGCTGCTGTGCACAAAGGTGTGTCTTAACCCAGACAGGGAAGGTGTGACTTTGACCCGGATCTAGATACTGCTTGCCCTCACACTACTATAGACAGTCTGAACGTGCTGACAGTACCGGGAGGAGGCACGTGGCTGGGAAGTGGGCAAGTGTTTTATCCTGGGGTCATGAGGAGCTCTGAGTCAGCAAAGCTTAGGAAAGATGGAATGATGCCACCCTAGTTGCGCTAACACATACTTGTCCTATTACCACATTTCTGCCACAAAAGCTTCCATCCCAAGTCATTCTGGCTGAGACGGGACATTTTTCTTCTCTTACATTGGTTGAGCAAATGCTGGGGCATAGGACAATAAGCTTTGACCTCCTTGATTGGATTCCACAGCATCCCATCAATATATATCCCCCCCACCCCAGGGCATCCTGTGAGTGCTGGTTGGAGTCCCAGGCATTTAGGGAGTGAACCAGCAGATGGGATCTCTTCTCTAACTGTCTTTCACATAAAAATAAAAATTTATATATACTTATTTATATAAATGTTTTATATCTAAATATTTATACAAACATATGTACCTATATATTTCCCTTAGTCCCACCCCCAGCATCCCTCTGATCGTACCTGTACTTTGGGGAAAATTGGGTATCTCACTGTAGTTAAAGGCCTGGGCCTCCGTTAATTTATCAGTCAGACCTCCTAGGCCAGAACCACAGATCACGGCCACTTGAGGGCGGTGCGTGGTGTGAGACAGCAGCCATTCTGCAGTGTTCTGATAATCTTCATATGTGAATCTAGAAGAGAAAACGAAAGTGAGTGCTGCTCCCAGCCACAGGTGTCCAACAAATGACCAACAGGTTGGCAGGTGCACCGAGACAGCAGGGGACAGAGAAACTGGCTCCGAGGAGAAGCCACAGCATACTCGCCCACACATTCCACCAGCCCTTTCTGAATTCAGCCTGGTGAGAGATAGACATGAAATTCCCCTCGCGGGAGAGCCTAAGTTTATAAAGCCCATGTCTCTACCAACAGCCCCGCCTCTGTCCTGTTACCCATAGCTGATTTCATCTCCCTTCTTAGATGACTTCATCCAGGCAGGCAGGTCAAAGGCTCAACCAGAGTCTGAAAAGCTTCGGGAGAGCACTCACAGTGGGACCAGTGTGGTGGAGCCACACCAGAGGGCGGGTGCTGGTGCCTGGGGTAGCATTGTCACCCTGGGTTAAGCCACCGCTTGCTTGCAACACCAGCATTCAAATGTCAAGGTCTAGTTCTGGCTGCTCCACCTCTGATCCAGCCTCCTGCTAACACGTCTGGGAAAGCAGAGGAAAAGATGGCCAAGTCCTTGAGCCCCTGCCACCTATGGAGAAGGCCAGGATGGATTCTTGACTCCTGGCTTGGATCTGGCCAGTAGATGGGAGATTCTCTTTGCTCTCTGCCTTTCGAATCAATACATCTCATTTTAAAAAGTGGGATTAAGACTTTACTGTGGGCAGTAGCAAGTCTAAGACAATTTTGCTCAGGATTTTATCTATGCCCTAGGGACATACAAAATGTAATGACCGGACTGGAGCCAGCCTGGGACTCTGGGTTTACACTGTTGCCTGTGATACCCGCATCTCACAAGGGGGTATGGGTTTGAGTCCCAGTTGCTCCACTTTCAATCCAGTTTCCTGCTAACATGCCTGGGAAGGCAGTGAACCATGTCTCAAGCACTTGGGCTCCTGCACCCGGTGTAAGACCTGCATGGAGCTCCTAACTCTGTTTTGGGCTTGGCCCAGCCTCACGTGCAGCAGCCATCTGAGCTGTGAATCAGCACATGGAAGGCCTGTGTCTAAATCTCATTTAAAATGCAATGAAAGTTACCTTTAGGGCAGGAGGAAATCCAATTTCCTTTTGTTGTCTCACTCTGCAACTCTTTTCTCAAATACCAAAGGATCGATGTTTTAAGGAGAAAAGCACTAGGAACCGGCTAGAAGGTCTGGGTGCCATTCATGGTTCCCTGGGTTCTTTCTGGGATACCCAGGCCCACAAAGATCCCTGTCATCAGACGTGCAAGGGTGCATATAAAGGCATACAAAAGCACACCTAAGCCACAACGCGGTCGCCAAAAGCTAAGCCAGACTGACGGCATACATTCTCACATGAAGCTTGTGAAAGACACAAGGCCCACACTTGTGGCTGGAACACTTCTGGAGAGTGGCCAGAGAATTCCCATTTCCGTAAGACGGCTCACATAACTGATTCCAAAGTCATGTTTGGGAATCTGGGTGGAGAGGGAAGCAGAACTCAATCTAGATTCTTGCTGAGGTTGTCTCTTTCAGTGAGTAATCTCTGCTTTCATCTGCCTCCGGTATAAAGTAAGGCCATGTTATTTGCCCCGTCTATCACTGGACAGACTCAGCTCCCAAGTGAATTTAAAACTTGCTAACCAGCTCCTGGAACACTGTCTCGCACACCTGACACTTTCTCTTCCTTCTCTTCACCAAGACTCTACGTCCTTGAAGGATCTGGCCACCTACACTACCCAGAACCCCTGCCTCTACTTCGCCAGCAAGAGTAACTCAGAATGCTTCTTACAGTTCCAAGTCCAGTTCTCACTCCCCTCTGAAAAGCCAATGATTGCCTGCGGTGGCACTGAGGTGTGGCAGGGCTGCAAAACTGGCCAAGCCAACTGAGACACTCTTTCCCTTCAAAAGCAGAGCAGAGGAAGCCAGACTTACTCCCCAGGACACGAGGTGGTGGGCAAGGGGGAGCTGGGGGTGATGGTGAGAGCAAGTGTCACAAAATGAAAAAGAGGCAATGAGGCTGGTAAAAAAAAAAAAAAAAAAAAAAAAAAGAGTCAAATGGTATCTCCAAGAGGTGCAAAGGAAAGCAAAATGTTGGAGCAGCTGCCCCCTGGTGTAATAGCCCCAGCTCAGGGGTTTCCTCCCTGGCCCTCAGTCCCCCAGGGATTCCCCGATCCCTGGGCAGCCGAAAGTTCCTGTGATCCCCAATGCTGGTGAGTTAGACTGGAAATCACCTGACAGACATGGTGAGAGCGGCATCCCAGAACAGGGTGAGGATCGAGAGGAGGGGTCCCGCTCAGCTCAGTAATAATTTCTGTCTTCACTGGGAGACATCATTCTCCATTGACTGATCTCATCTCCAATTCGGAGGGAAACCAACGAGAAGCAACCTGCGAGGGAGGCGGGCACGCTTCTCTCTAAATGGGGAACTGGGGCTTCGGGCACAAACACCTCGTGGCTTTGAGATCCTAGGATGGGCTGGAGGGCCGTCTGCCCTGCTTCGAAGCGGGTCCTATGCCTCTGTCTCCACTCGCACCCTAATCCAGGCACGCGAGCTCCCACACAACGGTCCCTTTTACGAGGAGCCCGCACCACACCAACCTGTGCCCTTCCCGCCGCGGTGGCGCCACCCTAGCTCCATTCCCGCGCGCGCCCCTGCCAGCGCGGGCTGCCTCACTGCTCTGTCGCCTCGCCCAGGACACCTAGGTTCCATGCCGGGCCTCTGCATCTCCAAGGCATTTGCGCCCTCTCCCGTCCCCCTCGGGGCCCAGCGAGCCAAGTTTCCCAGGCTTGGTGACAGCCATTTCCCCTTCGCAGCAGCCTCTGGGGCTCCCTGGGCTTGGTGCCCGACTCACTGGTTCTCCATGGTCCCGCGTCGTCCTCTCCAAGAGCCTTTGCCTAGCTGCGATCCGCTCCGACGAGAGAAGGACGAGGTGGCTGGCTCTAGCAGGCACAGTTAGTTCACTGTTCCCGAGCGCAGGCTTATATCTCCGGCCCAGGAGTGCGCAGCCAATGGCAGCAGAGCACGCGGGCCGGCCCTTGTCGCCATGGTGATATAACCTGATTCACTAGCCCCAGGCGGAGCACAAACCTTTCTCTCAGCTCTGGTCCCTCCCTACCCACCCCGGGTTTTAGGTGGTGGCACCCAGCATGTTATCCCTGTACCCGCTTTGTCCCCGGGTCGGACTTTTGCAGCAAGGAGGCCTGGAAGATGGAAGTTGAGCGGTTCAACCTGCCACCCGGCTGCTGCTCATCTAAGGTAAATCCCTAAACCACGTGAAAAGAACAACTTTCAAATCGCGGATTAGAAACGCAACGACGGAATACAATGAAGTGGGTCATATACTTACACTTTTTTTATGTCATAAACCTTCCCTTTCAACCTCCCTGGGCAGTCAGGGCAGATCAGGAGGCAGTGTGTTACTGGGGACTAGGGAAACACTACATTCAGCATATAAATAAGAAAAAAACAATGAAGTGAGTGGGTGTCTGGTGTCCTGGACAAGGGGAGCCTTGCAGGGAGATTGAGAGAAGGAACCCGTCCAGGTCCGGATGGGGAGAAGAAAAGTTCTAGGGCAAGAAATTCTGGATCCCAGGCACGGAAGGATGAGACGCCAGTGTACGGAAAGATGGGAATGATCCTTTAATTTACTTTGGACTGAATCTGTGCCATTCAGATAACTAGAAAAAATCCTGCCCCAAGATGAAAAATGCTTCTAACACAACTACATAAATTCTCGGTAAAAATTCAGTTGTTTTTATTTTTCTCCCTAGTTTTACAAATTAACCAACCTCATGTTAAATGACAAATCAGTGGCCCAAAGCTTGGTCGATGGCGTTGCCCAGCTGTTGTTTCTTGCAAAACTCTAGTGATTGCTGCTTGCCATTTACCCATAGCCAAATCACACTGTTCTCCAAGCTGGCTCTCCCCTTCCTTGAACAAATATTTATGGGACATCAACTATACACCAGAACTGTTAGTGATAGGAAGGGCAGCAGAAACATGATTGGTACAGGGAAATGAAAAAGGAATGTGAAGAACTGGGACCAATGTCAGACAAATGGATTATTCAGGCACATAGTAATTTTATTACTATCCTTATACATTTCATGATTTTAACAAAACTAACAAGAGAGTGGTCTAAAACTAAAGTTTCACTTCACTAATGACACCATGCAGTTTCGAACCTTTGAAGGCATTCTTTTCAGTGATGGGGTCATGAGTAAAAAATGGCCCATGTATTTGATTCCTTCCTGAAGGTGTTGTTTTCAATAGCTCAAATCTGACTCAGTTTACACAGAGGCAGGATTGGAAGAGGATAATTTCTAAATTGTTAGAAATTTAAACAGTTAATTTTAGTGGACTCTGCAGTAAGTGGCTGCAAAACAAAGGAATGGTCAATATATAGGAAACATGAAACATTGGCTTATTTTGGTGCAGGAAAACCTGAAATCCATGCACTTCTTACTGTGAACTTTTTCAGGGCTGACCAACAAACAAGCGTTCTACCAAAGATATGTACGTGTAGATGACAAGCAAAGCCAGGAGTTTTCCAGACCACACCTCGAGGGGTGATATACCTTCCAAGGTCACATTCTCCATAAATACATCCCTCAGGACTAATTTACAAAATAAAGATTTATAGAAGGAAAATTGATAGGATATCATTGTATGAAAACAAAGGTTTGAATATACTCAACAGATATTTTCAGGCAAGGGTGTAGAAACAATTGATGGGTTCTGTAGACAGGCTTATGGGAAATGTGTAAGATCTTCCATACCTCCTCCTTTATCCTATGTGGGCTTTATTTTTTTTTTAGGATTTAATTATTTTCATTGCAAAGGCAGATGTACAGAGAGGAGGAGAAACAGAGAGAAAGATCTTCTGTTCGATGATTCACTCCCCAGGTGATCACAGTGGCAGCAGCTGAGCCTATCCGAAGCCAAGAGCCAGGAACTTCTTCCGGGTCTCCCACACGGGTGCAGGGTCCCAAGGCTTTGGGCCGTCCTCGACTGCTTTCCCAGGCCACAAGCAGGGAGCTGGATAGGAAGTGGGGCCACCGGGATTAGAACTGGTGCCCATATGGGATCCGGGCATATTCAAGGTCAGGACTTTAACTGCTAGGCACATGACGTTCATTCTATAAAAGCCTGATGCCACTAATAAACTTTGGCTATTGATACAAAAAAAAAAAAAAACAAAAACAGTGTGTTGTTCATCTCCGCAGTTGCCTTTTTGTGTAATGGAACCCAGAACATCTTTCTCCTCTCTGGGTATAGCTTGTTACACACAAATCATCCTTTCCCGATCTCTCTCTTCCCACTTCCCTCCCCTGTGTCTAGCACACCTCCTCTGGCCACATTTTTAGGTGTGGTCTATCAAGGATGGCACTCCAGGGGTCCTGTCCTACACCTGTCCTTAGGAAATCATTTTTACGTATCTTACTTTCCTGGTAGAGTTGGACTACCAATGTATATTTTATGAACAAGTAGGTTTCTGCAGTGTTGTGAACAGAGACTTCGTGGCTCAACCCATGAATTGCCCAAGAAATGTCCATCATCTCCCTTTACATCATCTCACACCACATCTCCACATTCTATTCCTTTAAGACTGCTTTGATCTGCTCTCAGTACTCCAGCCCAGACTGCCCAGGTTCCCAGGTCACATTGCACTTAGTATCCCAAGAATGTCACACAGCACCTCGAGGTCCAAAGAAATACTTCACAGTTTTGTTTTGAAGTCATGTGCTTCCAAAAGCTTACTAATCACTTGGGAAAGAAATATATGAAAACTAGAATTTTTTAAAAAAATTCATTCTGAAGAAAGTTCCAAGTACTTATGGCTTTGCAAGTACTTACTTATTCCAAGTATTGCTTGGCTTTGTACAATTTAACAAACCTTGAGATCCGACTTTGCAATCCTCGTCTGCTGTTCCATATCAGAAGCATCTCCTAAAACCAGCTTTGCAAACGTATTTTGTCATTGGAAGGAATGTAGCATAATCTAATGTTCAAAAACTCATCTCAAACTAAGAATCCACATAGCACACAAGAACTCTAAAATATTGTCATCTTTCCTTTTAGTTTAAAAAGAATATCCCCTGGTATCTTTGTGAGTTTATACTCTGGCGCAGAGTTTAGGAACTATGACCTCGGTTTTTCTGTTACCACATCATCTCTGAAGCTATGGAGTGGAAATGAGTGGCCCATAACCCAACTGTCTGAGTGAATCCCATCTCTGCCCCCTTGCTTACCAGCTGTATGATCTTAGGCAAGTAAAACTATTCCCGTGTTGTTGCTGTCCCGCAGCGATGGACTTGGTGCACAGAGCTGATAATAACACGCGTGGACCCCGACTGATGGTCAAAGCCGAAGTTTATTAGGGGCATCAGACTTCAAACACTGAGAGTCCATACTGTTTCCCTCTCTTGATTGGAATTCCTTTTGTTTTGTATATTCCCCCAGGTGTTCTCATTTACATGCTGTTTATACCAAAGATAGCCATTTGGTTATTGTCATGCAAATATTGTCCAATGAACTGCAAACCTGTGCTCGCTGCCCTTCCAGGCTCACAATGTCCTCCTACACTGTGTCTCAGTTTTCTTATGTGTAAAATTGTGATAATAATAGCACTTACTAGTATACAAAGATTATATGAAACAGTTATTCAGTGTTTAGACACAGTATCTAGTATTATCATAAACGCACAGGAAATGATGGCTAATGATATCATTATTCTCTTTGCTCTTTTCCAAAGATTTTTATTCATTTTTATTGGAAAGTCAGATTTACATAGGGGAGGAGAGACAGAGAGGGAGATCTTCTATCCGATGATTAACTCCCCAAGTGACCACCACAGCCAGAGCTGTGCTGATCCCAAGCCAGGAACCAGGAACTTTCTTCATGTTTCCCAGAAGAAACAGGTGCAGGGTCCCAAGGCTTTGGGCTGTCCTGGATTGCTTTCCCAGGCCAGAAGCAGGGAGCTGGATGGGAAGTGGGTCTGCTGGGATTAGAACATCACCCATATGTGATCCCAGCATGTTCAAGGCGAAAACATTAGCAGCTGGGCCCCCTTCTCTCTCGTTAGTGCAGACCCACCTAACCAAAATCACAGTTGGGGTTGATTCCTCTGTTAGGAAATGTGAGGAGTCAGATAGGATGATAGGCAGTCAAAGTCTCTGGTTCCTGGTGAAGCTACCTTTTCTATGTTGATCATTCAGGAATAATGAAGAATCAATGACCAAAGTACAAGAAGGCCTGCCTAAGAGAAAATGAGGGCTGAAGCCAGCTTTTCAAAAGAACTTTGAATAACCCCTCCCTCCACTCCTGTTTCATCCACTCAAATGTAAATTTTTTTCTAATGAAACCATTAACCAGTTTCTTTACAGGTCTCAGAGTGTCCCTCCATCTCTCATTCCTCCCACCAGCCACTGCCATTAGTAAACTCAGCTTGAAGAAGCCACAGGGAGAAATGCCCCTTTTCCTTTATGTATAACAAAAGGGAGGAATGCAAGGAATTATTCAAACATCCCACCCTGGGCCCTGCGCCATTTCATCTTCCTCATAGCTGAGGAAATTCGTGCCAGTCCAGCCATCCACCACCAATCAGAAGTAACCTGGCATTTCACCTGAGAATCCCACCCCCAATCTCCCAGCCCCTTCCCCAACTCTGCCTGCTTACCCATCATTCTTAGGCAATCACCTGTGACTGTCTCAGGTACCAATCCCCTGGGGCCTGCCCTCAATTTTTCCCATTCTCCGCCCCCCCAACACCTTGCAGGCTCACTTGAATGGCATAAAGGTGCCCTCCAAAAGGCTCTGTGTCTTACTTCTCCTACCTTCCTCCTCCCAACCTCTCGTCCTCCCCTACTGCCTCACCTCCCCACCAGCTCCACCCCATTCTGAGATACAAAAAAAAAAAAAAAAAGACAGCAACTAAAGTACTACATTGTCCAAAAACTAACCTTCATTCTTATCTGGCTTTGTA